GGAAAATACAGCACATACTCATCTGTCCTAATTTGAAATATAGTGGGTTTAAGGGCTTAGTTTTGTTTTCAGTAGAAGCTGTTACTCATGAGGCTTTAAAAATCTAGACAAGTTAGATATGTGGCATTGTTCTCCTGGACACACTTTTGCATCTTATTCAATACAAGAGCTATTTTTCAGTAAGTCTGAAAGCTCAGTAACTTCATTGCTAGATACCTTGTTTACTTAGAGCTCTTACTGTGTCTTGTGCTTAGCCAGATCAGAGGGCTGGAAAAATGGCAGTAGAGGAAGGAGATTTTTGCTCAAGATAAAACAGCACCTCCTAGAAGACATGGCAGTTCTTCAAGACACATTTAAAGGAAGTGCCTGAGTTCACATTCTAAAGTAACAAACAATCTTTCATTTTTTAAAACAGAAATGGGATCTCATTTACCATCTGGGACAGGTGGACAATTCATGGGAAAGAGGATTTTACTCTGCTGGACTTCATAAATGCTGTTAGAGTAAGTTGTCTACTATACTGGGTTAGTACAAGACAAGAGGAAAGGGATTTCTTATTTTGGGTTATTGGTTTGGGTTTTGTTTTGTTTTTATTTCATGAAGTTATTGTTCAAATCAAAATAGTTTTAATAATAATTAATGTCAATGGGAAAGTCTCTAAGTAAACACATTAGCAAGTTTTCTCATTGGGATCCTATGGATTTTAATAGTTAGCTGTAGCATTAGCAGTAGTGGTATCTGCTGTATCTTGTATCTTGGGCAGCTGTTCTAGTCCTTTAATAAGTTTTAATTTGCGAATTCCAGGAGAAATATGGAATTGAACCAACTATGGTTGTACAAGGAGTCAAAATGCTCTATGTTCCTGTGATGCCAGGCCACATTAAAAGATTAAAGTTCACGTGAGTATAACTGGATAACAGGGTCAGGGATGCAAATGCACATACAAATTATGCTCATTGGTTGTATCATAAGGATGTGTGTCTGACAGCAGTGTTTTCCCTCAAAGTGGTTGCTAGTTGTTAATATTTTGGAAAGAAAAACGATAATTTCTTTCATTTGGAAAACAAAAAGAAAATAAAAAAGAGAAAGTGAATTAACTTCTATGATGAGGGCAGGAGACTTCCAAAATGCTGCTCTAACTGATGAATACCAGAATGAGAAAGCTGAAGAAGTCTGACAATATTGGTTTTTTTTTTGGGGGGGGGGAGGGAGAATGTACTATGGTTCAAGTGGAACAATTTAGAACCTTTTGAAACTGGCTTAAAGCTTAAAACTAATGCTGGTGCATTGATCAGTACCTGTTTTGAAGGTCTGCCAGTAGGTAATGTCAGGCAAAGTAGTATGAGCAAGCTACTTCAAACTCTGTGGGAGAGAAGAGCTCTAAGCTGCAACACCTTCAGAGTCCCTGGCATACTAAGATGAGAATTTGCAGCCTGTTAAAAAGAAGTTGTTTATATGCCTTCTCTTATAGCTGTATAAATAATTTTGAATGAGTGAGGTATGTAATGAAGTCAAAGGTATGGTGTGAAGCTGACTTCCTGTGAATGTCAGGATTTCTTACTACCCTGAGACCTGGTTCAAGCTTTCCATGTTGTAGCAGCAACTTGGGGTTCTGTTACAAAGAGTCCCAAAAGATATTTGCACAGCAAACTCTGGTCTATCTTGTGTGTTTGATTTTTCTTAAGTTGCTTAAAATTGTGCTGTAATATGACAAGAATTACCAGACTCTTTCTTTGTTTCAGAATTGCAGCATTAACTGGTGGCATACTCCTTAAAAGCAAGTTTTAGAAATAGTTATCTGCCTTGCTCTCTGTAGCTTGGGTCTTCCTCAGGCAAATAAATGTTATCTCAGTATCTGCTGAGAAGAGGCTAATGCTTTATGTTCTTGCAAGGAAACAAGTGCTTGGGGGAAAGCAGCTTTTTGACCTGCATAATAAAGTATACCCAGAAGGGAAATCCCTCTCTAAGTGACTTGTGAGGAATAGAAATGATTTACTGTATTCCCCCAGCCTCGTGGCATTTGAGCTGGCTTCATGAACAAGGGCTCTAGATTAACAAGAAAATAATTCTGAGCCATCTACAGATACGTGATGAAAGTGAGTTGGCTGACCTACTTCAGTATTCTACTGTGCAACTTCCAAGCATTGGCTGCAGTTTTTTGAGACTGCAGAGAGCAAAGGGGGGAAGTTGCATGCTTGTGACATGCTTACATAGTTCAAACTCACTTTGTGATCATGAAGGAAGAAGTCCCAGATCTTGGCTGTTTTTCCCCCCTCATCGCTATTCACCTTTGAAATTCAATGACTTAATGCCATAACCCCAATAGAATTATTTTCCATCAGAACTTATTATTTGGTGTTTGTACCAGAGTGGTTCTTCCTAATGTACTAAAACAGGCCTTTATTGGTAGATAGGGAACTTATTCCTCCTCATTGACTGAAATCCTACACAGAAGTCTAACTTTGCCTTGTGCTTCTGTAGGATGCCAAACAAAAATTATATCTGTGAGGAATCTCATCCAAAACTGTTCATATGTTCTTTTGTAATGATCCCTTGTTGGTGAATGATGCAGTAGCTCACTAATTGGCTCCATCTATCAAGAAAATGGAATACAATTTGCTGGATCTTGGGTGGAGAAACAGCTTTTGTGTCAAAATTTAAAGGTGGCTTAATTGCTCAATTCTCCGTTTTAATTTGGCCTGCAGTGTGTTGGACCAGTGTGTATTGCTGGCAGTGAAATTCATCCTAGCCTGACCCTGAATTCCCACTGCCAGTCCTTCCTCTGGTATATTAACATATTCTGCTTCATTTCTCTATAGGATGCAAAAACTTGTGAAACCATCACCTGATAAGAAGTATGTGGATTTGACAGTATCATTTGCTCCAGAGACTGATGGAGAGGAAGACTTGCCAGGGCCCCCAGTGAGATACTACTTTGTTCAGGAAGACAATTGACGGTAGAGACACAGAAGTCACTCATGGACCATTTGTTCTCAAAGGAGTGTGCTTATTTTCAGCTGTTAAAGATGGTACTATGTATTTCTTTTTGGTGAAGCCTTAATTAAATGGTGAAAATCAGTGGCTTTGCACTGAAGACAAACTGGATTTGTGTTTCTTCTGCTTCTGTTTTCTTCAAACCCGTTCGCTCAAAGGAGGATTGGTCACTCCGTGAGATGGAATGTCCAGTAGAGTCCTTACCTTAAAGACAAGATTTGTATTGATTTGTGGGGAGCTGAAGAAAGCAAGAAGAATGGTGAACCTAACAAATAGTCCCCATGTGCAAATTAGGCACTGCTTAGAGAAGAGTGCAAAAATGGGGAAACTAATATTTTATGCTTCTGGTGTTCTAAGAACATCTTAAATACACTTCATATGTTACTTAATTCTTAAAGAAAAATTTAATTCTTGCTATCTACACATGAGATTTAATCCATCCAAAAGGCTTAGACTCCCACTTAAGAGCAGATGAACTGCTTTATTGTGTGGTTGTTGAGTGGTGCTGTGGCCAGAGCAGCTTTGTGCTGCTTTTTTTCAGTCTCAACATGGAAACACAGGGAACAGGTGTAAATTGTCAAAACTCCATTGAAGTCCAGAGAGCTGGAATTGTTGATTATCTGCACTGAGACTGTTCTTTGCAGAATACTGCAGTATAGGGAAAGTGAAAACCTATCGGAGAGCTGAATTAGCACTTTGAACAATAAAACTTTGTCTTCAAGAAAGAGAAAATGTGATTGAGCCTTTCTGCCCTCACTGAATTAAAATCACTATAGCACATGGTGGCTTTAAAGGGAGGAAAAGGCAAATGTCTCTGTGGATGTTTGTCATACCAAGCTCCTTTTGGTACCATTTTCTTATAGCAGATGGTTGTGCTGTACACATGTCCACAGCCCAAGTATGACTTGCACTGAACACAGGTTTATATCATCATCAGTCAGTTTCTGGAATATTGAAGTATAAAGATCCTGTTTGATTTGAAATCATTAGGGACTAGATTTTCTGCTGCGGTGAGGCAGAGGTGTGGTACAGAAATGTCATCACTTGACTGTATCATTTAAACACCAGATACTTGAGCTGGTAGTTTTTTCTCCCCACCATAGTAGAGCAAGGCAAGGTTAGAATATAAACCTATAAACTGGAACTTGTACATCAAGATGTATGGAACTGAATATCTGAAATCAATGTAATTCTTTCAGTATTTTGGATTCACTCTTATGTGTGTGATGTCTTCTGGAAAGTGTATATAATTTTACAGTCAGTCTACTTTATAGGTATAATTTTCTAGATTAATAATACCGCTTTTTAATCTACCTGATTATGTGTAGCTTCTTTTAGGGAAACTTTTTGAAACAGGAGACAAGGTGGCTAGATTTAGAGTGCAGAAGAAGCACAATCAGACAATAAGTTTCCATTTTTAATAAGTAAAATGTGTTTCAGGGTGGCAGTATTAGAATCTGAACTCTCAACTGCTGTCACTATTTAGTGCTAAGCATCACTTAAAGGTTTAGATCAAGTTGAAAGCACTGTCACCTCTCACGCTTGGAGACTGAGAAACAAACGAAACTTTGAGTAAGTACACTCTGGTATGTTAGTGTGGTGTTGACATCACGCTTACGCTTTTAAAGCAGCAGCGCATAAAAATAGTAGAGTCCCAGTACATTTTTAGAATGCCCTATGACTGTCCTCAGGGTTTAAAGTAATCTTTCAGATACAGTTAATAGAGGATTTGAACCGTCGTTTCCCAGGGGAGGACAAAGGACCGGCGCCCACCGCCCGCCGGGTCTCCTCCAGGCAAAGGAACGCAGGGCAGCCGCTGAGGGCGGAGCAGCCGCCGCTCCCTGCGCAGGCGCCACAGCGCGCGCGCCAAAAGTAGCGTCCCCGGCCGGCGCGCGGCGGCCGCCGACCAATGAGGCGGGGGCGGGGGGGCGTGGCCGGGGCGCCGCCGTGCCCGCCGGCGGTGGGCGCGCGCGCGGCGGGAAAGGCGCCCGGGTTCGAAAGCGGCGCGCGGGGCGCGCGCGAGCCCCGTCCCGGGATGGCGGAGGCCTTGGTGAGAGAGAGCGGGGAACGTCGGTCTGTCGGTCGGTCTGTCTGCCTGCCTGTCGGTCTGTCTGCCTGCCTGTCGGTCTGCCTGCCTGCCTGCCTGTCGGTCTGTCTGGGCGCTGTGCTGAGGTCAGCGGCCGGTCCTTCCGGAGAGCCGGAGGTGCGGTCCCCGGCGCGCTCCCGGGGGAGGGGCGGGGTCGCCCTTCCACCTCACCCTGGGGTCTTCCGCTCTTCCCTGAGGAGAGCGGGGCCGGGGTTGGCGCACAGCGAGCTCGGAGTACGGGCCCCGGGCACAGACACTTGTGCTCCGAGGGCTGGTCTGTGGGGAGCCCCGTTCCCCTCACGCTGCCTCTGGAGAGCCGCCTTCCATGGGCGAGTGAGCGCGTACGGAGCCGGACTCTCGTCCAGGCGCGCCACAATGGTGCTCATCGTGAGTTTTAAAACTCTTCATGTGCAGGGCGATGCGAACACGCTCATAAATGAACTGTTAAAAGCACTTTTAGGTCCGTTACAGGAGATTTGCAGTCTCTTTAGTGCGAAGGGCTTCATGCCAGGGGATTGTGCTGCGCTCTGCTGCAAGGGGAAGAGGTTTCAGACCGAGTGTCAGATTGACTGGAGTGTGGTTCTGCACAGTTTCTGAAGGGATGGCTTTTGGTCAGTTGTTTTCCCGTGTGACCTAGAGTTTCCTTCTGCCACTGAAGGCCGATGTTGAAAGTTTGCAGTGCAATCAATCCATACTTGGTGTTCGTTGTTTTTGTTACCAGAAGTAATATCCAAAGAGGGATCGCAAAGAAGTGTAAAGTACTGTCAGCATGGCAAACTTCAGAAAAATGAACTGAATTCTGTTGTGCTATGACTGGATAATCTCCATACTGCACGTACTTTTTAAATTTACACAAATGAATGAGAGGTCATAGTTGTTTTTAGGCTAAACATTTACATTTTTTTGAGATGTTTTCCTGTCATATCTGTGAAAAACTGCACTCTGCTTAGCTCTTGAATTTTGCTTGACCTTTCTTCCCTCTTGTATCCTCGATAGCCTTCGCCTGTTTCCAGGTCAGCGGCTTTAATTCGCTTGTTTACACAGAAGGTAACGCTGATAAAATGCTGCCGTTTGAAGTGTTACTGCTCTAGCTGTGGTAGTAGGCGACCGGAGTCATGTTTTCTATTTGAATGACTTTGATTATATTCGGGTTTCAAGTGGTGTGAGGCGGCACTGGGACTTGGTTGAGGCCGTAGTTTCACCGTGGCACAGCGATGCGCTCCCACTGCCTGTCAGCGTGGTCGTGCCTGTGGCAAACAGGGTAGGAATCATCACGTGAGCAGCTAACACACAGCAGCCGATGTGTTGTAAGGTTAGGTCCTGGCTTGCTTTGTGGTAGTTCGTTCCTCTTCCTTACTTAAAAGATCAGTCGTTACGGTTGTGTAAATAGTAACCAGATCCTTAGATTCTCTGTGATTTCTGTCACGTTAAGTCTCCTGTAAGACTCTCTGACTTTGAATGCAACAAGTGCTTTGATGGTTCTTGTGGAAAGCTGAATTTCTGGCAGTTGTTACAGGGGTTGTAGCTGCTGTGGCATTCTAAGGAAAACAGGGCTGCAGTAACTCCACTCTCCCACTAGTTTACAATGGCTTGAGAATTCTTGATATCTGCTTACTTGTTTTCCTGTCAATTGTCGTTATGCTCAGTAAAAACTGATTCTTATTTCTTCACAGGATCATTTAAAAAAAGACTACAGAGCAAGATTCTGCCATGGAGGAGGGTAATTTGCATTTAAAATTTTATTCTTAGATTCTGGAAAACTTATGTGGATTTTCATCTGAGAGCGTAATGTCAAAGCTATATGGTGTATCCTGTAAAACTGATCATACGATGTTTCCCAAATTTCTTGGTGGTGAGAGGAGCAAATAGTACTGGGGGACAAAGCCCCAAGGTTTTCCTTTGTTTCCTTTTGCTGAGGCAGCTAACTGTGGTGTAGCTATACCTAAGGTACCCCTAACTAGGCTGCCTGAGTACAGATGGAGTAGTCTGTGCAGACATTTTGCCTTTCAGGAAGTAGAGAAATGAAGCCCACACAGAGTTCCAGCATATTTGGACCTTGCTGGTAAATGCTGGAGATGAGCTGGAGTATTTGCAGTGCTGTAACGTTCTTTAAAGGCATGTCAGAAGCCTGTGAAGTTCTTGTTACTGGAATCCATTTTTAGACTTGCGTTTCACGAGTTTACAATCTACCAAATTAGCTGGTTTTGAAGGTGTATAATGATTATTATGGGAGTAATACTCCATGGCTTTTCTAGTGTTATTTTGGTTTTGATCAACATTGACTGGCTAGTGAATCGCTCACTTTTTTCCCAAAAATATTTATTTCAAGAGAGACTCTCTTCATCCCAAAGCTCTTTTACCTCAGGGAAGTAGTTGTGTGTTTTCTTTTATGTAGAGAGAATTCTTCATTCTCATCATAATCTGTGGCAGTGAGGCTTTTTTCCCTGGAATTCTTATTTAGACAAGTTTCTTTGCAGATATCTATGTGTGGAAATGATAGGTAAAACTATATTGAAGCTGAGACTAAGGGAAATTATAATTTAAAATACTGAGAAGTAACAACTTTGCTGCTTTAATATTGCTGGGATAGGAACATTTGATATTTTTGATTTAAAATATTTTTTCCTTTTCTTTCTAGAACTAAGATTGATATACAACCGGGTCAAAATGTACTGAAACTCATTCAGGATTGTTTTGAAAGTAAGTTCTTATTCAGTGTTTTACTCAATTTGCTGGTAAAAGAAGAAATAATTTCTTCTTTGTATTATATTTAGTGGTAAGTAGATAGAAATAAAAATTAGAGATAAAATGGATAAAAATAAAGTTTTTCTCAGGGACTTGAAAAGAACCCTCTTCCTAGCTGCTTAAAACTGTGTCTTAGCTGTCTGACAAAGGTAATCTTTCCTGAGTAGCCAATTCTTTCTTGTTTGGATTTACGTGACCTTAACAAGCTATAGCAACTCGTTAAAATAAATGAGACCTGGACAATTCCAAGATCCCCATACTTAAAGTGTTTTCTTCATAGGTTGCAGCAGTGATCTTACAATAAACTCTCCAAATGCAACCCTTTGCCCAGCTCCTATTGTCAAAAGTGGGAAGAGGACTTCAACGCAGAGCCAGAAGGTAAGTTAGTTATGGCAGCATCACAGTGTAGCTTTGGGTACAGTTTCACTGGGGTACAAATTTAGTTCTGTATGAGCATTGAAGAAGCTCCATATGCTGCTTGTAACAGTATATAGGCTACAATTTAACCATCTGTAGTAGTTGTTGATAATGTTTTTTCTTCTTAGTTTGTTGTGCTCAAACAGTAAATATTCTATAATTATATTCTATAATTAGATTTATTTAATAGCTTATATAGGTTGGAGCACGCTGCCTGGTTACTGATGGGTGGGTATGGCTCTCTGGGACTCCGTTGGAGTTGGTTTTGGCCACTTTGCCATATATATGGAAACAGTTCTTAACTGGATGGCGAACAGTAGAATTGAAAGGTGATGCTTGTATAAAAGCTTGTTAACTCCTGATAAATAGTTATCTGTATAATAACTTTATATATATGTATCTTGAAGAGTGGAAATAAGTTGAAGGCCTTGTTAGTGTACTGGGAGAATGATGCCAATAATCTAGTTTGTATATTTAGTATTCATGCTTTGATTCTATTTTTTTAAATAGGATATTCCATTAATGGCGGGGTTGAGAACAGGCATCTTTTATAATGGTGTTTGTTTACTGTAGTTTGATGTTATAAAACCATATAATGTCAAATAATTTCTTGCAAAACTTCATCCTGTCTTAAGAAGGGTGAATTAAATTGTTTAAAATAATTCATTCTAATGAAAAGAATAGCTTGCCTGGAGACCAGCAGGATGCCTGTTTAAAGCTGCATATAGATTTTTGCCGTTTTTCCTGTTATTTGAAATTACAGTTACTTTTAGAAAGTCTTACTTGATAGAAAGTTGAAGTGTTTAGTTAAAATAGAACTGTGATTCACATGAGTATGATTTAAGAGAAGGAAAGTATATCGTGTTCTGTAGGAATTTGTAGTCCTGTCAAAATACTGTTGCTTTATCAAATATTTTACTTTGTCTCATTATTTCTTACCAACTATGATAGCCAAAGGCAGGATCAAACAAGTCTGTGAAAAAAGCCTGTAATTCTCCAGAATCCTCATCTACATCACTGCTAAAACCAGTCAGCAGCAGAGGTTGGTCCTGCTATTACTGAATTAAGGTTTTTTAGGTTTTTTTTGTGAAGTTTTGAGTAGAGGAATTAAACCTGTTCTATATATATAGCAGGACAGTCTTGTGAATCACCCTTGAAGCCTGCAATACATGATGGTGTAGCTGTTTCTGAAAAAACAGAGTCTCCTGTGTCTAAAAGCAAAAAAAATACATTAGAAGATGTTGAAGTGCTGTGCCGAAGTCCTACCTTGTTTTTGGACCCTGAGGATGATCACAGGTCTGTTGGATCACCTTTTCCTGTGGAGAAAGGGAGAAGTTCTCCTGTACTTAAGTAAGTAGAGCTGAACATGGTTGTGGTGTTATATCCCCTGTGTGCCCTCTACCTTAGAGTAAATCAACGCAGTGTTTCAATCAGTTATAAGTTTAGATTGTGAACTCATAAAAAATAATTCCAGGCTTTTTAGAAAATTTCCATATCTGTTTTTAGAAAGGGCAGAATTATTTTTTATTAAATGTTCTGGTGATAAGTGCAGCACCCAGGTGTAGGAGGCCTGTCAGAACAGACTTGAACTCTTCTTTGCAGAAAAATTCACCAAAGTATCAGCTTCTCAGGTAGTCCAAACTTTTTCAGGGAATCCTATTGATAGTGTTGACCTTAGAAGGTAACAAGAATTTGTTAAAGTAGAAATGAGCAGCCGTCGTTCCTCTCGCTCTGAATAGACAAGTGTTTTATACGAAATAGAACAACTTAAGTTGTGATCTTTATCTCCCCACTGGATAATATGAAGCCCAGCTGCAATATTGGCCAGTGGTGCTTTCCACAGTTCTACTTTCCTGGAGGACTGAGCCTCTGGGGTAGATCATAGAGATGGACTGACACTGATCCCATTGACTCCCATTGGTGGAGTGAGATTGGGAAGACAGTGTACCTACGGTCTAGGAAACCTGGCAGTTTCTGAAGCACCTTAGGACAAATTAGGAATTTGTCTTAGTGAGCAGCTTTTACTTTGATCAAGAGTCACCAGTGGCCTGTGTTGCTTTGGACACTTGCTACTGTGCTGGGAAGTACTCCAGCTAAGCTGTGTTCAAGCAAATTGCCAAAGGGAAGCTCATTCATAACAATTGAGACAATGTCAGCAGGAGCATCTGTTCTACCTCACAATACTTTATTGTGCACTCACAAGATTTATAGCAATATGTCTGAATGCTGTTTTTCATACATAGATTGTGTTTTGATGGCTGGAATACACCTGCTGCAGCAAAGAGCTGTGGAGAAGTTGAAAATTTGGAAGTACCTCAGACTGGGAGAGATGAGCAGGTTGTTCTTGTGCAAGGAACAGAACCTGTTGCTACATCTTGTATGCAGAAAGAGAAGACTGTCTCTTCAGCTCTCTTAGCAACTGTAGCAACTGGAACACTTCGACAGAGGTTTGTTTTGAGGCTTAATGTGGAACATTAATTGCTATTAAAATAACTCTGGTCTGAATATGGGAACAACATCCTTTTATCTATAATCAAAGCCTGGGAGCATTTTTTGGGATAGTCCAGCATTACTATGTAACATTTTAATGTCCAACATTAAAAATGCCACTTGAGAAAGGGTTTGAATGGTTGTGTCAAAATTTTGTGTAGGATTTAACAATGCTCATTGTTTTGTCTGCCAGTAAAATAGTGTGTTGAATAGTGTCTGTTGAATAGTGTTTCAGATAGAGCCCGAGGTGTTTTGATAGGTAGCCTAGAGGATTCAGGAAAGCCTTATGCGATTTTGAAGTTTACAGTGAGCAAGGAGTCCTTTTCAGAGCTAGTCTGGATCTGACAGGTTACATAGGAAGTTGACTGTCCAGCGTCTGTCCAAAGCAAGAAGAAGCAGGCCTTGGTGCTCTTTTTGGAAGCTTAAAGAGCAATGAATGAATGCATTCTGAAGAACGTTCTGTACTGTGTTTAGGTGTTCTGGAGTCACCACTAGATCTGAAAGATTAAAAGTCAATTTACTCCACTGCCCAAAATGATTTGTCACTGTCCCTCCTTTCTGTAGGTATTCAGCCTCGCTATCACCCCCATCACCTCCTCCTATGAAAGATCAAGATATAGAAATCGAAAATGAATGTGAATTTTTAATTGATGAATCAGGTGGTGCATCTTTTACTTCTTGGATTTCAATACCCAGTAAGAACAAAAAATTGAAAAAAGATGGCTCTGCAACTCCTGCTTCTAAATCTCAGCCCTCTGAAAAGAAGAAGACACAGAGTAAGAAAGGCAAGAACAGGGAAGCGCAGGTTGAAGCACTTACTAAACAGAAACCGAATAATCTGGATGTTGGAGCATTTGACTTCAAAAGAACGTCAAAGTCAGATCCAGTCTCTAACAGTGAAGGAGAGGTCCTTAAATCTCAAAGCCAAAAGGGTACTCATACAGGTAAGTTCAAGGGTACTCATACAGGTAAGTTCTTTAACAGCTCCTTAAACTTTTCTTTCCAGGTCATATTACTGGATTATTTTGTGGTGGTTTATTAGGAAATTATAATAAAGTAGATGAGAGACGTTAATGGACTCCTTTCTGATGTTTCAGTTGCACAGTTAAATTTGGGTGTGTATGAGGCAGTGAGACAGAGTGTCTTCACTTTTCCCACCCTCTTTGCCCTTCCTTATAGGATGCTAAAAATTAATTTAGCAGTGTTACCTTTTCTTATGAGCAGGTGTAGAAGGTAGGTACCTGCAAACTTTTGCTCCTATTTGTAGAAAGGAGTTTAAGACACGTGCTTCAGACTGAAGGGGATTGGGTTTTAGGAATTACTTGTGAAGGGGTTTGTAACAGGAAACACTGAAAACTGGAAAGCAAGCTAAATGTAACATTTCTGCTCCCTTTTTTTCTGTTAGGAAATACTGGAAGTAAACTAAAATGTTTTTTATACACTATAGTTTAGAGAAGGCCTTCTTTTAGCCTTCGGGGGCAAACCTGGTTTTGCAATGGCTTTTGTTTGTTTGTTTTTCCATTTTGATTTTTTGGTTTATTTTTATGCATTCAGATGTCAGGTTCAACGTAAAAAGGTATTAATGTCCAAATGTTTCGTGTATTGATAGGAAAGACTAAAAAGGATGCACTTAGACAAGACTCTCCAAACCAGAAAAAGAACGCATCCTGGAAAACACTAGCTGAAAAACTGATGTTGTCATGGTCTGGATTGGAAACAGAAGCATCTGATGCAGAAAAATGTAAAACAAGGGTGCTGCCAAGTGAAGATTTGCCTATGCCCTCATCTGGGCATCAGCAAGAACAGACTGTGTCTCCAAAAAAGTCTCTCAAGTCTTCCAAGAATACGCAGTCAGCTTCAAAAGCTTCTCAGCATTTAGATAAGAGGAAACAAACTGCTAAGCAGAAACTTCCAAAAGTTAAAGTAGCTAAGAAAGTGGCAGTAAGTCCAAAGAAGGAGCTTAAAAAATCTGTCCAAAAAAGTAGTAATAAAAAACCTCAGTTACAAAGAGAGAAGAGTTCTGACAGTGAACCTAGTGAAGAAGAGCATGAAAGAGAGCCTGTAGATCTGAAAGACGTATGCACCACACCCCTGCGTCAGAAATTAGGGACTCCCATGACTCAGAAATTGGCTGTGTCTGAAAAGCCTAGAAATGTGTTGCACACACTGGAGTCACCTGGCGGTGCAAATAAACGAACTCCTGTGAAAGCACTGCAGCGTCCCATGGACAGTGTGAAGAAGTCTGAAAAGAAACAGTTGCCAGCCAAGAATTCAGGGAAGATACCCGAAAAGATTACTTGCAGAACCAATGAAGCTGTTTACTCAAACCCTGAGGACACGGAGTCTCAAACAGATTCTGACAGCTCTTCTGTACAGAACGTGGCGAGGAAAAAACAGAAATTGTCAGATGTGAAAATAAAAAATAACAAAAGAAAACGTAACAGGCAACATGGACCGCAGTAAGCTTTTTATGTGATTCCTTACAAGTGTGGTATAATTTGGTAGATAATTAAACACACCTTGTTAACTTTTAAGCAGTGATGGCCCGATTGAACTACGAGATAGTTTGAGACTGGTTGAATAGTTAATAGAGAAACCAAGTGGGGTAGTCAACACCCTGTTCTCAAATGTGGGTGCCAAATCTAGTGTCTTTCACATGAGGAAGCTTGTGCTGGTTAAACTGTTCTCATGAGACTTGTGTAGTAGATCCAGTTTAACACAATTCCACCACCACAGAGTAACTTCACCGTCAGGTTTGTTATTTTTTTAAATGAAATTTAGAAAATACAGCATTTAATTCTTCAGCTATTGTATATATTTTTGTGGAAGTAGCTTTCTAGTCATTGGCAGTCTAAAGATGGAAGTTGAAGGAGTCTCAAACCAGTTTATAGTAGTTGTTCTTTGCATTGTTTTTAAATTTTTTTAATCTTTTTTATGGTTTTGTTCAGGATATAAATTTATTGACCTACAGGATCCTCTCATTAAGTAAAATTGACTCTACACTAAAATGTACTAAGAATAATTTTTTCTCTTCTAGAGATTCCTTTGTGGCTGAGAAGGCTGTGAACTATGAAAGGTAATTTCTTGAGTTGTCTGAAAACCTTGAATTTAATCTCACTTCTGCCCCACTGAGACAGAACAGTTTGGTACTACTACCCCATTCTGTGCTCTACTAGTGAAGCACCTAGTAGAAAAGAATTGATTCAGGCTTGAGGGTTTTAAATACTGCACTAATACAGTTAATAAACTAGTAAAATTTTTCTTTCTGTCATAAATAAGGGGTCATAGTAAGTTTCTTACCTTATTGGATTTTTTTCCTTTGAGGCTTGCTTACACATTAGTGTGTGATTTTGGAACAGAAATACCAGAGCTCCTAGAACTAATAACAGCAACTTTATTAGTACAGTTGTTAAGTGTGGTACAGAGCTGTATCTACAATCCAAACTTTGTACATGTAGATAGGCATGTATCTTCCCCTTCACTGCATTGAGAACTTAGTGACAAAGCAAACAGGAGTGGCAGCCTGTGAATTTATTGAATTCTTAAGCAGTCATTCTGCAGAAAATTTGGGGGTTTTTAATTATAAGGGAGACTACTACAGACTTACTTGGACAAATCTGTAGTGTAGGTTTGCTAATTTAGATAATTTGAACGCATCTTTTGGAGTTTAGGTGGATAACAGCTGAACTTCATCGTCACGGTACAAGCAGTGAAGCACAGCCACAGATGGAGGAAGGAGGAAGGTTAAGGATACTGGTGCTAAGGCTGTAAGAGAGGTCCCATTAGAAGTGATTTGATTGCTAAACAATCTCTGGTGGAGTCACACATAAATTGTCATGTTGTGGGGAGATTTCATGACAGAATACTCATTACAAATACAAACTGTTTTACTGTCCATTCCTTATAGTATGCAAAACATTTCTTTAAAGCAATTCCATAATCACGGTATATGGAAAATTGTTTGAAAGGTAATGCTACAGAAGCAGATCTCTTTATTCTGGAAGGGAGAAGAAAAGAAAAAGTTTAGGAAACCTGTTTAGAGAGGAGGTGTGAAGACTAATTTTTCTGCCTGGTGACGGAGTAGAGGAGCAGTTGATGAATTTCAGACCCGTGATTTCTAACTAGCAGTCATTTGCTTTAGTGTGTAATCACTATAGGCAGGTGTTTAAAAGAAAAACAAAACCCAGACCACATGATCTGAAAAGAACTTAAATTTTATATTCATAGTAGTGCTGTAATGTTCCTTTGACATTTAACATCTTTTATCAGGTTTGTTTTTTATTCTTTTGCAGTGGGCCTGTCCTAGAACATTGTGATAAATTTGCTTTCAGCAGTAAGTCTTGTGAACATTATGATTCATCTTCAGGTAATGTTTAAAGTTGTTGTTTTCTGCATTTTATGTATAAGCTTCTTATAAACTGTAACTGATGGTTCAGTAATTTCTGTTGTATTCAGCTTATCCAGAACAAGTGCAGATTTCATTGGCTATTACATTTCTGTTCAAGTATGTGATATGCTAGCTTTACATTGTGGTAGCTTTGGAAGGACAAGCCCTCCATGGTTTGGCATCAAACCTACCTAAAGTTATCCCTCCAAAATATTTTGAACAAATTTTTCAGGCTCTGTTTGTATCAGTTTGGTGTGTTGCCATGTGATGGTACTATATGCAATCTATTCAGGCCACCCTGGACCAAATTGTACAGCCTGATGGCCTGTTCACCCAAGAATATTCTGGTTTGGGATGTTTTGTTGATCAGTTTGGTTTGTGGTGTCTGGTTTGTTTTGGGTTTTTTTTATTTGTTTGGTTTGGATTTTAAGTTTCACTTCACGAATTGCACATGTTGTCATAATTAACATGAGCCCTGGAAATAAAAAGTCTTTTTGTTAGTGTTCTAGAGCTAAAATTGAATATGCAAATGTTATTAGTTCATCAGTGCTTTCTTCAGAGACCTGGTTTTGTGTGTGTTCTGGTAAGAAGTTTATCCTAAAGCTAGGTTTGAGTGACATAAAGCTGAATGACCTTGCACTTTGTTGTCATAATTTGGCAATGCTTGTTTTATCAAGAGGGATAGGTCTGAGGAATATTTACTTGAATGTATAGTTTTCATGTAATTTTCAAGCTTTACTGATTGCGTATACTGTTTATCTACACGGGGTTTCATACATGTTTATAGCAAAGTGTGTTAAGAGGGAGCACTATCATGGGGACTGCAGTTTGTATTACCCTTGGTTGCTTTTAGTAGGTGTATTGGATAAAAGTCAGGAATAGTAAATGCCTATGGTGGTGGTTTTTTGAATGTGTTTACAGAGAATTTTGATGACTTGAATTACAAAGTAACAGATCCGTTGTCAGACAACATAGCAAGGCATAAAATAGGTAAGATTGTTTTAAAATATCATAATGTAAGTGTGTAAATACAAATGTATTTCCAATGTGATGTAAACTCTGCTGAAGGAGACTGGCACTGCAGCTGCACACTGAGCTACCTGCACTGAATGTATTTGTAAACAGTTGACTCAAGACAAAGCTACAATTCAGTGAGTTTGTATTAGTTTTATGCAGTATAACTGACGGTGCAAATAACCTGCCTTCTGTGGTGGTCTGGGTCTGGATAGGATGGAACAATTGGTGTGCAGTCGATTGCAGTCCCATGCTTGTCTATTTTGTATTGGGGTTTTTTTATTGCCTTCATTATTATTTTATGCACAACACTTTAGTTGTCTACCTTCAAAAACTATTTCATCAAGTTTTTTGTATTTACCATTTTTAACATTTAAATATTCTTGACTAATTTGCTCTTAGCTCTTTAAGGGCTTTTATTCTTCCTTACAAATACTAAAATATATCTTACTGTATTCATATATGGCAGCTTAGACAACTTGAAAGTTGAGACTATGTAATAAGTACGTCTGAAGATAAATATCTGAGAAATCTTGGAAATGCATGGAGTTTCTTTTGGCAGAAGTGCTGTTCTTCTGGACCTCAGAAATGGGACTTGTGAATCTGGAAGGGGGGAGGAGCTGCATATGCAGTCTCTTACTCTCCCCTTGCCATAACTAAGGCAGGGCCTTTTCACTGTTGCTAATGAAATCCCTCAGATTTAGGCAGGGTCCTTAATCTTTGTCGAGAGCTTTGTCTTCCCAGTTGTAGCATGTTTTCTGTCCCTGTGCTCGAGCTCCTAAGGTCCATGTCTCAGTGATTCACTAAGACACATAGAACTAAATGTAATGTGAAGTCAGTATGGTGATTATTTAAGAAAAAGGAGAGTGAAATAGTGATGTACACAAAAAAGGGCTTTTGTCAATGTTTGGATCCCGTTTTCCTGTCATGACATCAATGTGATATAAATATCAGCTGGGAAGTGCTGACCCCTTTTGTGATACAGCAGAACAGGAAAGGATACTTAATATTTTCCATCTCTGAATTTTCTTTTCATGCTTAATGTGAATTATGTCATCCTTCAAATTAGTGATGCCTTCCAACACACCTAACGTTCGTCGAACAAAAAGGATACGGCTAAAACCTCTGGACTATTGGAGAGGCGAGCGCATAAACTATTCTATGAACTCTTCAGGTATTAGTTTCAAAATACCTAATTGTTTCCTTGTGGTGGAGCAGTAAAGAGAAATCTATGGGTTGATCTTGTGCCATGAGGACTTTGAAATGCTTACTATTGGGTATTTATTTTTTTTTTTGAAGATTGTTTATGGTCACTAGCTATTTAGTCACCTTTCCATGTAGTCTTTTTCTCTCCTGATATTCCCATGTCAGCTGAAAATAGTATCAGGAGAGTATGTTAAGTAACCTTACCTTCACTGTTTAGAGAAGAACAGAATAGTTTCTCTATACTATTAGGTTTATTACATCAGAGATTGTGTATAATACTGGAAAAAGAGACAATCTGCTGGATCATTCATTGGAGCATTTCTCTTTGTGTAAGAATTGTTTTCCAGACCAGATACTGTAATATTTTATCCAGTCTCAGTGTTAAATTCCCTAAGTGAACAAATATATCTTGTTCTCTTGGATTTTTTCTGACAATTCATCTTAGTATTTGGTCTTTTCTTAATTAACTAATTTGCTTAAGAACATATTTCTTTGTGTTCCTAAAATTGATATTTTGTCTTAAAAAATTGCTTTCATATCATGGTTTTCTGAAATGACATGTGACTGAAATTTGATAAAAATTATTTTTAAAATATCTCAAGTTGCATTGCACTCCAAAATTCTTAATAATAAAAAGCTTTTTGGCTTGTTCTGGCTTTCTAAAGCTGTCTGAAAATTTCAACATCAAGGAAGTATATTCTCAATTAAAGTGCTTGTTGGTTGTGCAAGTTTGCATTCCTTTAAAGCTACTGTGAGTTAGCAAACTTTGTTTAACTTCCTTTTGTTTCAGGAGGGCTTGTGATTAGTGGATTAGTGCATCCAGATACACAACCTTGCAGTAAGAATAAACAGAAGAAAGATCGTCACAAGCAGAAAACGAATAAAACAAGTATGAACACAGACTTTTTTTTCCTTTTGATACTTAAAAAAAAAGTTATCTGTAATCCAGTACTCTATTGCTGTAAGATTTTCCTCCTGTAAACAATTGATTCTCTATCTGGGTGAAAATAATTTTATAACAAAATCTATTAATGTGATTTGGAAAAACTTGTTTTTGCTTTAGATAAATGCTGTATATTCTTGTTTTAAAAATGTTAACTTTTCAGAAGAAAGGAAGAAATACAGAATATATCCAGAAGTGCCTTTAAAGCAGGGGCAGGAAAAAAAAATAAACTGTACTTCTGTTTGTGCTCAGATCAGGATGCTAATGTGCACAGTTAAGTTATAAAAACTTGTGGTCGTTTTACTGATACCTGTAATATCACATCTAAAAAGGCAGTATATGGTATTAGTAGAGTCTCAAGCTTTTGTAGGTTAAACACAAAACCACAACATGGTAGGTGAAGAGAGAGCTTTAAGAACAGCACATAAAATGGTTCAAAGTGGGCTATAAATCTGTGTTTAAACAAACAGGGAAAGGAAGCTTTGCTGGAGCCTCTGTGGCCAGAAGATAATAAATATTTATGTAGTGTGCAGAAAGGAGAGTCACAATTCAAACGCCAAATTATTTTTGCTGTGCAATCTGAAAGAAGTTTCAATGCTGAAGAGCCTTTCTTTATGGGGACTGTCTAGAGCTGTTGTTTGAAACTGAAACATTTCTCTGTGAAGTTATAGAACTAATAAAACAAATGCTAACAAGCATGGAAAATGCCATATGGTCCCAACACAGTTCTAAAACAAATCAGGGCTAAAATAGTAATCAGAGAAATAAGGAAGAGAACAGTCACTGTTGGTAAATATTTTTGATTTTCCAGAGTGTTTCATGTGAATTTTATTCCTGAACTCAAGAAGAAAGTGGTAGGACTAGAGAAAGTTCAGGGAAAGCTCATCAGAAACATGAAAGGACTTCTGTAGAGAAGCAACCACGTAGTGAAGACTCCTCAGCCCTCAGGAGAGTTTTGTGGAGGCATGAGAAAGACCTATAAAATCACAAGTGGTGTAGAGAAGGGAAATAGAAATAAATTGTTTTATTGGCTTTTTTGTATGTTTGTTTTTAAACACAAGAACTAGAAGGTGTGGCAGGAAGATACTGAAAGCTGGGTTCTTTAGGAGAATAAGATGACCATTCTCACTATGTGCTTCCTGCCCCATAATATTGTGGATAAAAATAATTATGTAGATTCAAGACAAGATGTAGATACATTAACAGGAGACTTAACTATTAACAACTCTAAATAAAGTGTGTGAGCTCCAGGTTAGAGGTGGGAAGTGTTCCATGGAAGTGCCGTTACTCTGTTACCTGCTTTTGGCCACTGATGGGAGACAGGATCCTGGTCTAGATCAACCTAAGTACAGTTTATGTTGTAATATAAATAATTTGCAGCACATGTGAACCTGAGCTGGCAGTGACTGTTTGTGCTGTATCTTACCAGAGCTGTTGGTTGCTTTGAACTGTCTTCAAGAAGCGATCGATTTCCTCTCGAACAGACATCCACCCTCAGAGATAGTCTTTTTGCTCACATCCTTGAGTTTTAGTGATGCATATAAGGGACTGTTGGCTGAGTAAAATTTCTAGCACGAATTCTCAAATCTTATTGATACAATAAATATTCTGTGGTTATAGCTATAGAGGTACACCTGATGCTGTTTCTTTTTATACCAGAGATGGTTATGTTGGAACAGAGCTGTTCAAACACAGCAACTTTCTTCCTACCCCTGACTGTCTTGGTGTAAGGATATTTAAGCAGCTAAGACTGCCTACAAAGTGCATCAGCTTGCCTGTAATATGCTGCTTCTGATTGCGTTTAAAGAAATTTCTTGTGTACTGTAGAGCTAAAATTGTCTGCTTATGAGAATTCTGCAAGAGAGCTTTGGGATGTTTATTCAGTTGTGAACATTTTCCAGCATCCCTTTTCTGTTTGAAAAGTGTAGAGTTGTCATCGATTCTTAGGATATTTCCTGCTCTGGAAAAATCCTTTTTATTATATCCTTTTTATTATAGAGATAGTTCTCACATTTACAACATACGGTGAGATTCCTGTAATGGTTTTTCTTGAGAAAATAAAAATTGGACATGTGCTTAGTCTTTAGAATGCTTTATCTCTTAAGTCTCCTTTGTCAGCAGTAGGTAAAAGCAAAAAAACTTGGTCTTCATACTTCATCCTGTATTTTATATCCTCTCAGCCTCTGTTGCTGGAAAAGCACTTCTCTGAAAATACAGATGCTTTTGAGTAAATACTGTTATTAATAGCACAGGATAAATAGTTGGCATTCCACTGGGAAATTTCTTAGGATTTAGATAGCCTTCATCTATTACACACAGAAATTATTTCAATGAAAATTACATTTTCAAGAAACTGTTATGGATGGTTTCCTTTTATTTAAATGAAGTGTATTCAGTCTGTTTAGTTCACTTATTAAAACAAGTTTAAGTACTTAACATGTGACATTGGAACTGTGGAAAAGTTGCGGTTAAATAATTAAGTTTTTCAAATGCATAGTTTTGGTTTCTTTGTTTCCCCAGAGAGAAGAGAGATACCTGCAAGTTTGGATCACAACCTAGCTGATACTTCTAAGCCAACCATTGTGCTGGACCCAGTAACAAATGAGGAGGTAGTTCTAGGTGAGTTGAAGGGATGTGAGCAAGGGACTTTGTGAATTAAATAAGCTGTGTTTAGACTGATAAGAAAAAAAATTGTTCATGCCACATTGGGCAAAAGAAGGTGAGCTATTGAAATATTCATTGCTCTTCTGGAGAAAGTTCTGAGGGAAACAAAAAGTGTTTTGATTTTTTGGCTAAATATTGAGTGTAGCTTTTGCAGGTGTTGCACTGAAACAATATATAATGCACTGAGCAAGTAACAAGACTAATTACATGATAGCATTAATGCTAATCTCTTGAACTTTTTTGTAGAATGTGTTAACACTGAAAGCAGTCACGCTTGCTCCTTCAAAGATGAAGCGGTAGAAATATACAAAAATTTGAATACATCTGTTTTTGCAACTGGTAAATTGATTTTGAAACCACTTAAAGAAAAGGGACACCAGTTTGTCCACATGGATACAATAGTAAGTGTGCTTTTTTCTTATTTTTATAAAACTGACAGTGTAAACAGGAGATCTTAGCTTGGTTGGAAGCAGCATATGAAGCTGACAGGTTTTTCAGGGGTTTTCCCTCTCATAATGCACATAAACATTAATGAATCATTTTCCTGAGGTACTTTGCATGCACATTGCCCTCCTTTGTGTCATACTAAATCTGTATGTCTATGGGCACTTACTGTCTAGATCTTGCAGGCAAGACAGAAGTATCAAATAAATAAGATGACCCCATCCCCCTTTTGAGTTGTGCATCTTATTTTTCAGCAGTGTGAGGGTAAAAAAAAGGGTTGCAGTTCTGCCAGCTTATTTTGGTTTTTATTTTTGTTACAACATGTGTGCAAATGTTTTCTGGGATAACTTCCTTAAATGTTTCCAAAGGAAATGTTGCTAATATTAGAATCCTTTGGCTTTCATTAAGGCTTTCCATATTATCCGTGGCAAAATTATTGTTACGTTACATAAGACATCATATTATCTGACTGCAGGGGACTCCTTCTATGTTCCACCAGGTGAGTACATGTGTCTAAAACAAATGTGTTGGGGATGGTTGAGACTGAATTAGCATGCTAGGAATCAAAATCAAACTGAATGACTGAAAGAGAGATGGAATAGAGAATGGGAAAGTATAGAGTTATGGAGAATGGAACGTGACACAACACTGGACATAGGTCAATAATCTAATTGTTGAATGCAGTGATTCACATACTGCTTGTTTGTGTGAGTTGGCCTCAAAGTTTTGATGACACTACCAGGTTCTAAGAGTAAATTTCTCTTGGTTTTCTGGTTCTGTCACTAGCTATAATGTTGGGGAAACATCACAGACAGCTTAATATAGTGGTAGCTAATATAATTGGTTTGGTTATCATCTGCTTGCTGTTTTCTTCCATGTAAAATTATGAAAATCTATTTGGGTCAGTTCTCCATATTTTGTGCTTTGTGCTTGGTATATAGAAGGTGCAGAATGTCCTGTTGAATGGGTTGTAAATTCGTATGAGTTGTTGAGCATTTAAAGACCTGATTTGTCCTTCTGATATAAAAGGAACATGAATTCCATATGGGAAACTGTCCATCAGTGGGTTAAGATGCTAATCAGAAGATTTTGCCTAAAGCAGGCTGTTCATGAAGCTGTAGAAAGCTTTTGTATAGCTTTCTTGTGAAGAGGTTGTCTTAGAAAATTACAAATTAGCCCTTTTTTTCTGTGAACTTTTTTTCTGTTAACAGAAAAAGTTAACAGAACGATGTCCTGATAGATCATTGTTCAATTAAGGCTTGATGCTTTTAGGCTTTTTTTTTTTTTTTTTTTTTTTTTTTTTAAAAGTTTAGGGCATCTGCAGAGGCAATTTTTGCTTTTTGGGAAAGTGGATTCTATAAAATGCTGCAAGTTTCAATGGACCATAAGGATCTATAGTTTATCTCCATTCCTCCCTGCTTCTTCCTGGCTGGTCTTAGTATAGCTGGATGGGCAATGAGTGCAGTGTTTGTGGCAGGCGATCTCTGTAGATCATTGTGTGGCCATATGAATGTTAGGGTATTGCTCATTCACGATGTTCAAAGCCTATCAGATAATTCTGTTTTGTGGTCATGTTAATGAGCAAATCTCAAGTGAAGATCTGCAGGTAGGTTTCCATGTGCAGATTTTTTTGATAGTTTCTATGGGAATAAATTAAATTCAGTCACCTTAAAGTTTTATTGGGCATTTTGAGAGCTGAGAGCTCAAGCCTGTTACATTCTTTTCAGTAAAAATTTTCTAAGCAAAGATGCACTTTATTTTTACCACAGGTTAAAATAGATGGCACTAGCTGTATTCCTTGTTGTCTCCTTGAAATTCAATCACCTGTCTGTAAAAGTGGCATCCTAGATTAGGAACTAATTTTTCTTCTGTTAAAATATATGAAATAAAAATACACTTGTCTGAAGATAGGACAGAACTTTTGAATAGCAGAAAAATTGCTATTAGCTCCTAAAGACCCAAAACTTACTGTGTTTTTATTTGTAGGAAATGGATATAACATACGTAATCTTCTGAACGAAGAAAGTATTCTTCTCTTCACGCAACTCAAAGTCAGGTGAAGAACCTTCTGCAGAGAAGTTTGCTGAAACACTTTTCAAGCTTTTGTATGTTCTGGAGTTCTTTTTACATACAAAAAATGTTTTAGTGTGCCCACCTTAACATTACAAATTAAAACAGAGCAGGTGAAATCAAACATAAGAAGAGTTGAGAACAAAACCAAAAGAACCTCAGTAGTTTGCTGTCAAACTAAAATGAGATACTGAAGGGCCTCACTCTGCATCAACTACTGTTCTTGTGCCATCCAGTGACAGAAAGATACAAGTATGAAATGTGTGGGTATATTTATTGTTCCAAATTGTATCAATATGCTTAATCTCCCTAAAGATACTTAGCACTTGAAAAAATGTTGACATCTTCAGCTATCTGATAGATAGTCTTAACAACTGCCTGGTACAAACTGCTTAGAGTAATCTCTGTTTAAATGATGAACCTGCTGTTTGCATTCCAGTAATTGTTGTCTGGGAGATGGGCTGCTGAAATGTTTGTGCGCTGGGGTCCAGCCGCCTTCTAAATATGTTAATGACAGGCATTTGTTCCTTGTCTGGCAGCTGTATGATTAGTGCCTCCAGTTCCAATAGTAAAGCAGAAGCTTTTAAGTAGGAGCTTATCAGTTGTGTCTTTTGTGTGGAAGCTGTGGCCTGATTAGCTCTGAACATTGTTGATAGCTTTATTTTGCATAACAGCGATAGGTCATTGCCAAATATATTACTTTAATATCTCCTTTTGATTTCCTTGCTGTGTTCCTGGATAGTAATGAGGACCTTTGGGAAAGCTGTAATTATACTACATACTCCAGAAGCCAAGTCTAGACAGCAGATGGTATCCATAGCATTTGTCTCCCAAGCTCTTCAATGTTCCTTCTGGCTGAAGATAAACTACAGCTATTCTGATAGGGTGCTTTCTCTCTCTGGTCACTGCTATCCTCAAAGAGGAGGAGATAAGGGAAATTGAATTGGAATCGAGAACTTTTAAGGATTTGAGGGTTGAGTGTTGACCTCGTAAATGATTTTGGCCATGATCTTTATGCTAAATCTAGAGTATACATTAAAGTAGGAAAAATGAATTGGCGTTCAGATGCCAGCTAACTTTGTGTATCTGTGAAAGGGCTTGGACACCAAGATTGCCACGCTTCTGTGAAAGGTCCTTTAGGCTGGGGAGTGGGTTGAGATACTACTTTTTGTCATGCTCTTTCAAGTAGTAGTTCCTATACCTGGTGCATACTGACGCACTGGAAATACTTGGTAGAGGTTATGTGACATCTTTTCGTTCATGACTGGGTAACATGTAACTGGGAAGATGAAACAGGAACATGCCTTTTGCCATTTAGTTCTGCCTCTGTCTTGATACGAACTATTTGTATCAGAGTTCAGACTACACAGAAGGAACTTTTTTTCCCAGCCTCAACTTCCGTGAGCAGTTTGAGTTAAAATTTTAAAGAGAAAAAGTCATTTAGTTACTAGATACGAGTTTGATGTTGACTCAGATGAGAAGTGATATGTTACCCTTCTCATACCAGGCACTGATGTGTCTTCCCCCACTGCACTGTACTGGCACACTGCAGCAAGGTTTTGAGTTGGTTTTCTTTTGGGTCAAGAGTAAGTGGTGAGAAATATGTCCTTCAGGATGCTTCCTTAGGCAGAAGTAACGTGGAGGCCTTTTCCTGACACAGGCTGGAAAGTGCAGGTGTTCAAATGCAGGTTTGAGGTCAGCATGCCTGTTTGCATTTTCCTAATTCTGTGTCTGGGAGTGTCAACAGAATAGGGTGAATTTGGTAAAGTATGTTGCTTTTTAGTCTGGATGGGTTTGTTGCTTTCTGATTAGTCGGTTTCTTGGGAGAGATGTCCTGTGTGATTCGAAGAGAACATTTTGTAGTTGGACTACATCTCAAAATGTTTGTGTTTTACTTCTTTTTTTGAGAAGCAATACCAGTTGTGCCAAGGGATGTTCTCTGGAATATTGCTGTAGCTTAGCAACACTTCTACTGTTTGCCAGTAGATGGGGCTTCAAGCACAGCTGTTTGTTCTTTGCTGGCCTCTGTGTTCCATCAGGGTCTGGTTTTTGAAAGGGAGCAAGAAGTGTGTTTCAGGTGGAGATAAATTCAGTTGAATTCTGTTGCAAGGAAGTGTAAATCAGTTGCCATTAACAGTAGGACTTGGTCCTGAATGCTGCTAGGTTCATTCTGTTAGCATGGATGTTGTACTAGTTGCAGCCACTTTCTCAAAATTGTTTTTTTAAATCATCAGTGCACTGCAGGAGTTGTTGGGTTGAGCTGGATTGTTCACTGTTGGCCAGGATTACATTTTAATTTTTTTAATTCAACTGGACACTTGTATGAAATTTACTTCTGTGTCATTAGCCTGAATGTAGTGTGGGGAGGTGCAAGAGGATCTTCAGAGTTCCAGGACTTCCATGGCTGCTGAGCTCTGCAGCGTGTCAATCAGTAATCAGTCGCTGGTCAGAAGCAGCAGCAGATGTTTCACCTCTGCCTGGTCTTGTTTTGGCTGCATTTTTGTGTACATCAGGCCAAATTGGATTTTGCAAATAAAAAAACCGTTTCCAAAATGTGAGAAGTTTGCAGTCTTCTTCCTGCATATGTGTGATTCTTTTTACCAGGATATTTTCTACTCTGCTGAGTAGTCTCGTTCCACTGGCTACTGCAGTTTAGCCAGGTTTTTGTTAAGCTAGGCTGACAGTGGTTAGCCGGTGTTACCTGTGGTGGAGTGAAGCTGGGAGCACTGTTGTGTGAGAGACAAGGCCTTTTCTGCTGACTGTGAGATATACATACTGTTCCTGGAGGATGCATAGTGATATCCTGCAGGATATCCCTGTTTTAGTGTATTAATTCATTGCTTTCTGTCAACAGTAATTGAGAGAGCTGGAAACAAAAGCCAAGTCAAATATTTCAGCTTCATGTTAGTAGGTACATGTATTCTGTAGTAGGTACTCTGGTAACATCCAGAGACTTGTTTTAAGGAGCTTAGCTGAGAAGTCCCACCACAATAAAACATCAGAGTTTTGAAGGCTTTGGCTCCCTTTGAAAAAAATTACAGGTTAGTAGGTTCTTCTGCAGATCTGTCTCTTTGTAGTTTTGTTTGGTTAGAAAGCTGTTCCTGTTTTACTAAGCAAAGCTTAGTAAAAGAAGCAGAAGAATAATTGCAGAACTGTCAGATGTGTATGCACATCCATATTTGTACAACTCTGTAAACATAAAATAGGAGATTGTGAGCTGAGTAATTACAGAAAAAAATAAACAGGACCAATAAAACAAACTGTTGAGGCACATATACAGCTTCTTCTGTTTTTCGAGTGCACAGCTAAATTGGTTATCTGCAGATGATTTTAAATTAACATTTGGGGAATACAATAAACCTAAAGAGCTATTTCCGCATTTCATAACAGCTGAAAAGGCATTTCAGCATGAAGGAATATTTCTCACATTTTTACTGATGTATAGACTCTGCATGATGCCTTTTGTAATGCAGGCTTTACTTTAAGTGCTGATTGATTGCGGATAATACATCTAACTGAAGAGCATGGACCGTGCCTCTTTAATGGTATTGACAGCTGTTGTAACTGAATATCTTAATCTTTCCAAGCTCGTACACTTCCTTTGCAGAATATCCTGTCACTTCATGGATGATCACAAATGCAGTCAGAAGAGATCTCAAAGCCAAACTTTTCTCAGATTGTGTGGACAAGCTTCATTTAGGATTTGACAGCCAAAATGATTCCTATGGGTCAATTCTACAATGAAAGCGGTGGTTGATCATCAGTCAAAACAGTCAGCTGCAGGTTATTAGGGAAGGAATACATGAAAAGATGTGCCGCCAGAGCTGCCCTGTGTCCTTAAGCCCACCCACAAAGCTCCTGTTCTGATATGCTTCAGTTAAGCTTCTGTGCCCAAGCAAAGATGTACACAAAAGGTTGTAAAACCACATGTACTTTGCATTTCTTCTGCAGTTGTCTCTCGTATGAAGCACAAGAGGAACAGTGATTGAAACAAGGAGCTGGAAGAAGCAAAATGTTTGTCAGTCTGACTGTTCAGCTGAGATACAAATCTGAAAGTGTTCACAGGAAAGAATATTAATGTCTAGAATAAGACTTTTAACTTCTCTTTGCAGCTTGATAGCTAAGGACTTAAATTTGAAAAACTGAAGACTAGTCTTGACTAGTATTTAGGAAGTTTGTTAAGTAGGTGCGATAGCTGTCAACACACATTATTTCATTCATCTTATTAGTTTTTTTCAGTGTCCTGGTGTTTAAAGTTGCCTTTTCCTGAGTTTTCAGCAGCAGTAACTGAAATGAGAATTGATCAAGATGGCAGATGCATGATAACGCTGTGCGCGTATCTACTGGAATCAACGTACCATAAAGAGGGAGAGGAAAGGAGTGATATGAGAGGTGTAAATATAACGAAGAGCTGTATTAGTGTCCAAAGGTCTTGCAGATTGGTTATGCAAAGGGTTTTCAATGAAACTCAATAACTTTGGAAAGAGATAGGTATGGGTAAGGGTTTCTGGTGTTGGTGCCACGAGGACGCAGCTGTCTGTACTGGTAACCTACACTCTTGGTTTGGATTCTAGTAGTGATACAATTAGTTGGGTTTAAGATCAATTATGTTGTCTTCTCTGAAATTACAGCATTCAGGTAATGAGCATGATGTATAATCCACTGAAAAAGAGGCCTGAACTTGCTGAAGTTTATCATTTCTTTATGTTAGCAACATTTTTGTGTTGTGATACAGTGGGAGTAATTCCAAGAAATGAAAGTTAGTAATGAAAAAGCTTTTTTCAAACAGAATCTGAACTTGGAATTTTATTGCTGACGAAGAGCGAACTCCCCTAGGATGCAGTAGCCTGTACACTGAAGAAACTGAGTAGTTCTCCTGTATTTCAGTTAGTGCCAAGTCAGCTCTGAGGCTAATTAATCAAAACAAATTTACAATTAAGCCCAGGAAGGAAGACTAATTAAGTAGACAGTTAAGAAAAGTGCTGAAGAAGGGAGCAACCTTAAGGGGAAAGTATGAGACTCCCAGTACTGGCCCATGAAGGACAATTAAGTGATAATTGCAGAGAAATTTTTGCATCCAGCAAATGCCGTCTGCCTTTTATTGTGGCTGATTTTTCTTATTAGTAGAAGCAGACATTTGCCTGATGAGCTACTAAGCTTTACTGTGCACTCTTAAGGTAATGCAGAGGTAAAGCAGAGAGGTCGCTGCAGGAATGAATTAGAACACAGCTCCCATACTTGAACAGTATTTTAGGTAGTGAAAAAGGCCCGCTGTGTTTTAAAGACAAACTTACTTCAAATGTTTTCTTTATTTGCCTTTTCATTTTGTGGCATGCCAAGTCCACGTTAGCATCCTGTTTAACTTTTCAAACACAATTTTCAAACAAATTACACTGAGTGAACTATCAGAATTTAGAATAGCTTCATTTTGTTCATCTGCTCACACCACTGAAGTTCGCAGAAATTTCATTACCTTGTGATGAAATGGCTCTGTCGCTTATGTCCTTATATTGGGTTTGCACAGCCAGGTAGTTTGGTAGTGGTGGAGGTGGAGTACTTGGAGGGGGCTCCTGTGAGAAACTGCCAGAAGCTGCCCTCATGTCCAACAGAGACAATGCCAGCTATCCCCAGTGTGGGCCTGCCGCTGGCCAAGGCAGTCAGAGATGGTGGTAGCGCCTCTGTGATATCATTTAGGAAGGAAGAAAAGCTACTGTACAGAAGTAATTATGGACAGAGAAGAGGGGAGCGAGAATATGTGAGAGAAACAGCCCTGCAGACACCCAGGTCAGTGCAGAAGGAGAGGGAGAAGGTGCTCCCGGTGTTGGAGCCTGTGATTCCCCTGTATCCTGTGACTGTAACTGAGTGAGTGATCTCTCCCTGACCTCATCTCAACCCAGGAGCCTTTTGTTGTGTTTTCTCCCCTCCTGTCCATCTGAGGAAGGGGAGTGATAGAGCAGCTTTGGTGGGCACCTGGCATTCAGCCAGGGTCAACCCACCTCAGTCCTGCACCCAGTGCTGCCTGACACACTTGTGGTTTTTGATGGAAAAAAGGAGGAGGGACGTGTAACAGGAGAACTGTTTTGACTGCAAATAATTTAGATTCTCTTCTGAAGGACTGCTTAAGCTTGCAAAGCTAATCTGTGGTGAGATGCTGAGGGTTGTAAATGAGGTGCATGCCCCAGACCTCCTGTGTCCCTCCCTGCTCATTTCCACTGAACCGTGATGCTAATGTAGTACAATACCTCTCTTAATCAATTTGACTTAGCATGGGCTAAAAAATCTGCTTAAATGTCCACCTTTTTTTTTTTTATTTGACACTTAACTGGAACTTGAATTATTTCAGAAATTATAGTGAATATCCTCATGATACAATGAGGATCCAATGAGTATCCTCAAATATTAATAAAAATTTTGATAGTAATTTCCTTTTCTTCATGAATTTCCATGTGTACATGCTGCCACTGTGACACACTGTATCCTTCTATAAAAGTTGGCGGTTGTGTACTTGAAGTATCTGCCCAAGGTGCATTATTGTCTCCTTTTTCCTTCTTCCTTCTTCCTTCCCCTTGGAACAGGCTGTGGAATAAGGCATTCATCTGCCACTGTTTCAGCTCAGCTGCTGTATCAAGTTTCAATCTGCTCCTTCATTTTTTTTCTTGCTGCCTAAACTAATTTCTTGCCCTATTTGGATGCATTCCCCTGCCAAAGGTTTCTTTTCTATCCTTTTGCTGCTTGCAGGGATTGAATAATTTTTTAAACTCAGTTTCAGGTATTTAAATTATTTCAGAGGTGTTCTTCTACCTGAAGGTTCCTTTGCCTACCCCTCCTACAAGTTTTGTACAGGGCCTGGTGAAGCTCCCAATTTTCACTCTCAGAGAAGTGATGGAAAGCTTTCTTTGGCCTTCATTCTTTGTAAGACTTTAGTGTCACTTTAATCCCTAGAAGGTCAACTTAGGATGTCATTGGCAAGGTGTTTGCTGTTGTCATCATCTGCTCTTTTCCTGGCTGCAGAAGCAGAACTGAGACTGCTTCAGGCCTGCGTGGTTGCTCTTGAGCCTCATCTGTCTGTTGAGGCTGGCTCTGCAGTGCTGAAAGAATCCATCTCAACACTGTTCCCCGTGGCCAGACTTATCCCAGAGCCTCATAACACTGTGCTTTTTGCTCCTCTTGTAGCACTAATTCAGCATGCTGGTGACTTCCTTTGCCTTGGCACAGTCTTGCCATGGCTCTGCCATCACTTAGGCACCACGCCATACCCTGATTTTGTATTGGCAGGCTAGTTCAGGCATTCACCTGCTCTTACATCTTCATTCCTCTTGCCGGTGGGAACGCCATTTGGTGCCAGCTGGTTTTGGCACAGGGGTCTAGCATGACAGCACATGCCCACTGCTGCAGATGTTGGTGTGGATGTGAAGTGCCCTCTCACACCCTGTTGCTGCTTGACTCTTCTGGTAAATGCCAGGAGAAAGTAATCTTCCTGGGCTTTTATGTTTCTGCAGTGTCTAAGAGGGAGTCTAGACTGAATGAGCTGTAAAGCTTGGGTGACCCCTCAGGGTCAGCTTCATACACTTGGAGATGGAGCTGAGACCTGCCAAGCTCATTTGACATATCCTTCCACGTGAAACTGCTCTGTCCACATAGTTCAGAACCTGTTCTCTCTGTTCTGTCCTACTCAGTGCCATGGGTGGGAATGTGTATTTCTGAAGCATGTTAGAGTATTTGTGTACATGTTTGGCATCCTCATTGCTGTGGTAGCTGTGGAGAGGTCAAGAGGTACGGAAGAGATCAGGAGGCAGAAGCTCGTACGTGGTGAAAGAGAGCTTACCTGTATCCAGTGCAACTGGCTCCAGGTGGTCCTGCTTGAGCAGAAGCGTTGGACCAAATGACTTCCAGAAGTTCTCTCCAGTCTCAGGCATCCCATGAAGTCGGAGACTCCCCTGCTGTGGAAGCTGCTCTTCAAGAAGTATATTTCATGCTTGCGTTGGGAAGACCCTGATGCTGTACACCTCAAATGGAAAGTGGCCTTTTCCATGACACATAGAAGGCCCTCCTTGTGGCAGCTGGAGCGTGGGGTGTGCCAGAGTGCTTGGCTGCTGGTGAATGGTCATTGCTGTCTGTTTCTCCACGGTAAAGGACAAAACATGCGTACTGAGTTGTGCTACAGCTGTCAGCTTTGACTTCCCCTTTCTGGTCTTTGGTCTGAGGAGTCCCTCTAAGGCAGACACATACCTGGGTTTGATGAGAAGTCCACTGCTCACTTTGGGGGAATTACCTAACAATCTTCTGCACGTAAGGTTTTACAATAACGCATTTTGATAGTGTTATTTTCACTTACAAGTCTCAACAGCAGTCTTCATTCTGTATGGGCTTTAAACCAGCTTGAAATTTGGCTTCTTGTGAAGTCCAGGCTATCACGTGGCTGCTTTTCCCATATAACTCTGCATGTGGAGTAACAATCCTCAGCTGTGACTTGATGTGGTGAGTTGCATCAGACGTTCTTCTCTCAGCAACAGTTTTAATTCTTGGATACTTTCCCTACTGTAAGCAGTTTTGTGTGACCTTTGGGACCGTGGGCCAGAGGTTGGGGACCGTTTGTGTAAACCTGAGTTAAAATGAATTAAAATACACACAAGATTTCTATAAAAACAACATGAAACTCACATGCACATTAAATACTGAGGCCTCTTAGTCCTTCACAGAGTATACAGCATTTCGAATTAGAAATAGCATAAGAAAATACATGCAGAGCAAGTGTAAGTGCCACAACCAGGTGTGATTTTGACAGCTTCAAATTTTGCACAGATGAACACATTTGTCAGAGAACACTGTTAGTTAAATTAAATTAGGCTAATGTGCTCTTTTGAGCATAATTGAAATTATACTAATATTTTTATTGATTTGCCACCGGAGTAGGTGAATGCTCTGATGTCCTTGCTCCTGTGAGTACAATTTGCTGTTGTTCCACTTTACTGTCTAGTAATTCCCCAATATTATGCCACAGATAGGCCTATTTTTAACTGTGTTAATTTGAACTGATTTCTGTTCTTTTTATAATGTAGACCAAAAGCAAGAAATATGTTGTTGGAAAGCTCTTCTCCGTAATTTTACCTGCAAATTGAAGATCATCTGATGCAAAGAACACTGAACGTTTTCATCTGACACTCCACTTTTAGGGGCACATTGTTTCATTGATCTTAAAGATCTTTCTTCTGTGTAAATAGTAAATACTTAGCTTGTTGCGAATTATTTTTTCCTTTGTATCAATAAATATTAAGTAATGCAAATCAGTTTTGATCTCTTTGATTTTAAATAATTTTAGAATTGATTTTCTAGCATTCCATGTGGTTTTGAAAATGCAGGTACTTGTATGAGTTTGACTTGTAAATATTTATAGATAATGTGAGTTTTCTTGAGTGGCTTCAAAGATACCACCAACTGAAATTTTTCAGCTGTTTCTTTGGAGTTGTTTAAACTTTAAAATGGGGTTGGAAAGTAAAATAGTTTCTATAGGAAAGGATCATAAAATCATTAAGATTGGAAAAGACCTTTAAGACCACCGAGTCCAACCATTTCACCCAGCACCACCAAGTCCATCGCTAAACCATGTCCTTAAGTGCCTCATGTATGTGTCTTTTAAATAAATTCAGGGAAGGTAATTCCACCACTTTCCTGACCGGTCTGTTCCAATGTCTGACAGCCCTTTCAGTCAACAAATTTTTCCTAATATCCAGTCTAAACCTCTCCTGATGTGAGTTGAGGCTGTTTGCTCTTGTGCTGTCACTTGTTACTTGGGAGAAGAGACCAAGCACCACCTGGCTGCAGCCTCCTTTCTGGTAGTTGAAGAGAGCGAGGTGGTCTCCCTGGAGCACTTGGCCTTGTTGCACCTCAGATACCAGTGCAGATGAGATTTGAAAAAAACCAGTGTTCCTAGTTGATGGGGGCTTTGGCTGCAGTTTGAATCCCTGGTGTTCCTGCCAAACTTATGCAGAAGCTTCTGGTAGGTGCAGAATTCTTTGGGTTTTCAAGTAAATCTAAACAGAGCTACATTCTGCTACAGCATTGCACTCATTCAGTACTCTTCATACTTGGTATGTGATGACTTCTTCTCTCCTCCACATTTTCTGTGAAATTTTCAAGGTGTTTCCATTTAGCTGAAGATAGTGCTCCCTGAGAACAGGTCTTGCATAGTCATCAGAGTGAAATAAAATAAGAGCACCTCCCATCCCTTCAGGAAAATACGGTCCATTAGTTTTTCATTTGCCAGGAGCATCAGTTTTTAATATTTTTCCCTTTTCCTCTTTCTCCTGGGAATATCAATCTGCATAGATTTATTATTAATTCCACAGCAATGAGCTCATTTTCTCAAAAACCTTTACAGTGGGAGCTAAAAGTAGGTCTCCCCAGGAATTCCTTAATATCCAAATTAAACTCAAGTATCCCTGTTTTTGTTGTAAGTGTTGTAGGGTTGCCCAGCATTTAAAGCTTGGGAGTCTGGATCAGTATTAAAACAGTTCTTGGGAGGGAGAGGTTGAGGAAAAGTCCTCCTGAATAACAGCGTATTATGCTGTGAATGAGAGTATATTAAGTTATGTAAACATTGCAGAGAAAGGGAGCTAGATGGGTTTTCCACTCCTGGAATGTTCTGGGAGCTCTGTTTATAACATTCAATCCTGTCAGCCATGCCCAAGGAGCACTGGTTAGCATTTTGCCGGCAATAGCCTTGCTGAAGGGCAGCATTTCCACCTGCAGTTCTCATGGCTCTTGAAGCCCTATCTCAATTCCAGTAAGTATGAACCATTATTTAAAGCAGCGGAGAATCTGGCTCTGCAGCTCAGCTGCCTGTGGCCTTTTGTAAGCAGTGGGTAAGTGCACACCTTGTGTCTGTGTTACTTGTGTCCTTGAGCTGTGCAAAATGGGAAGGGGAGGGAGGTGCTGTCGACCATAGAGCCCAAACCTAACGAGCCTTGAGCACTGTTCTGTTCTGGTCAGCAGCTGTGTAGGTTGCTTTGTAGGGTCCCTTGAGCAGGACCCAGATCCGGGGTCTCTTTTTCCTCATCCTGACTTGTTCAGACAGGGTCATGCTCTCTTGCGCTCACGGTCAGACGTGGGGAATCAGGAATGGTTGCTGCTTTTCTTCTTTGCAGTGTTTCATCCGGAATAGTCCGTCACAGTTTCTTGTTAATTGGCTCAAACCAATGCATTGGACAGAAACAGGAATGGTCACATAGATCATGAGCTGTATTTTTATAGTCAGGAAGATTGTTAATACATCTTTTTCTTTTGCCTGCCTTAACCTGGAAGAATCAGAACATTTGCCCTTCCTATGCCAATTAGATTCAGTCATAACTTCACAGAAGGAGGGCAGTTCCAGTAAAATCTGCACAGTGACCCAGTATTAACTTTTCGGAAGCAAGGAGCTTTGTCTGTTACATAGCTGTACTCTTTGAAGCTTGTCATGTCACTGGAAGGTCTAAAAAGTTTGAGGAGCTGTAAGAAGTGATAAACCAGCAAGGTGCACAGTTCATAAGGGCCACAACAGAAGCTGAGGCTTGCATGTAATTTTTCTTGCATGTAGAAGAAATTCAACTTAAATCTTTTTATCTTGGAGGATAAAAAGTGCTCTTAAAAATTGTCCAAGTCATCTGGCTTTCTCCCCTGCACAGCAGGAGGAGGTAGGTTATCCCACAGCCTAGACCAGGCAAAGGTGCTGGTGGTTGTACTGTAGCCCAGTTGTGAGCATGCCATGTGCCACAAGCCAGAGAATCGCTGCTCAGGGGTTACCAATCCAGTCCTGAGCTCTTGTGCTGATTTGCGCCTTGAGATGCATTCAACACTAAGGCAAATGCTTGTACCCGGGACTTGAGAGCAGCCAGGGACACTTCACATTGTCCAGGTGGTAGAAGAGATTATTAAAAGTCGCATTTATTACATGTCTTTGGCAGCTCAGCGTTGGTTTTAATATTGGAGTACCTTGTGTATTTTCAGTATCTCGAGTTAAACAGTTCCTCTCCTGCAGGAAGCCACTTGGTCACACTGGTATGTGGTCTGCTGGTGCACAACTGCGACTGCTTTCTCTTGGGATGAGAAAGCTGTTACTAAAATAAGACTTTACTTTATCTGCAGATAAGCAGGTTTAACTTGTCTGTTAAGGATTGTGTGATTTTTAGTACTTTTTTCTGCTTTTTTGTTTTGAACTCGGTGTTATCCATACACGTGCTTAACTGAAAGAGTATATATCAAACCAGTGCCAAATGGTTTGCAGCCTAAGGAAATAAGATGAAAGTGGACGAGGTGCAGAAAGCTCTCCCAGCTGCCTCTCTTTGCACTGGGGAAAGCTTTCCTGTGCCCCAGTATCCT